GCATGCAAATTTATTTCCTTAATAATCAGAGCAGGAGGCTGCCCAGGAGGATTAATGGCATCATTCCTTATGCACCGGCAGCCTCCCGGACCGCGAGGATATTACCCACCTCTGACATGGAAAAATTGTGTTAGTTCTACAGAGAAAACGCTGGGATATTTGTCCTGTGCGACAATATAATGGGCTGGTGCATCATCAGATTGCAATGTCATTTCAAAAACCTTGAATACAAATAATGTACAGTGAGAGAATAGATGGTGCGTACCTTAATACAGTCGGCTAGTTATCCTTCACCTAGGTATAAAGGGGCTTTTCTGACACCAGGCTTTATTTAAATGAAGCCCACCGCATCCGGCGGCTCTAGGCTCTATCCTAGGACGGATCCCTCTCTCTCTCTTTTCCCTCTTTTAATTAATCTTCCCTTCTCTCCCTCACTCCGAGAATCTCTCTTTTCTTGCCTCCTTCACCATTTTAAAGCAAACAACATGAAATATGTATGGGCCAGACATATTAATTATCCCACTATGTGGGGAAAAACAATGCGACGGTGGCACAGAGCGTTTGGGTGCAGATCTGTCACCGGGCGCAGGGAGGAGAAAGCCGGCGAGAAGTGAAAACCTAATTAACAAGATAAGTGACCAACAGCAACCCTCTGTCAGAAGTCACACCCACCCCGGAGCTGAGCCAACATGGACGCCGCTGGTAATACCGCAGCGCTGCCTGGGCAGCCATCTTGATCAAGATGTCCTGTTTGCAAGGCGATCCACTCCTCATGCAAGTTAATTGTAAAGACCTTTGAACATGCTATGTATATCGTTTCAGAACCATATGATGCCTTTAAGTTTGTGGGGTCAAAGGAACTAGGACCAGCCAGCACCAACTGATTTTGGTGTGAAGTTTGGCACAAATCCCTGTAATTCATCAAACAACAAATACATCTTGGCCAGCACTATTCTGACTTTTATAATAAGAGATGCTGGGTTCAGAATTTGTTTTACTGATGATTCAAATATATTTTACAAGAAAAATAACTTAAAGGGTTACCTCTTTCTAATTATTGTGAATACTATATTTACTTCAAGCATAGTTTTTCACTTTGCATTAGTAATAAAAAAATAAAATAACCTGAATTTATCACAGCATATGCAAAGTTTATAATAATATTTGTATTATTAATTACTATGCAATAGTTACTATTATTATTAAAATTTTTGAATATTAAAAAAAAAACTGACTTTGGCTACATTTAAAAATATATATCATTATTTTTTTTCTTTTCAGCTTATTCTGTTTATTAATCTGGGGTCGCCACAGCGGGATGAACCCCCAACTTATCCAGCATTTGTTTTATGCACTCATGCACACTTATTCACACACATACACTACGGACAATTTAGCCTACCCAATTCACCTATACCACGTCTTTGGACTTGTGGGGGAAACCAGAGCACTCGGAGGAAACCCATGCGAACATGGAGAGAACATGCAAACTCCACACAGAAATGCCATCTGACCCAGCCGAGGCTCAAACTAGCAACCTTCTTGATGAGAGGCAAACGTGCAGCCCTTTATATAAAGACTTCTCACTTTATATATAAATATATAATTGAAGTCAGAATTACTAGATGAATAATATATATATATATATATATATATATATATATATATATATATATATATATATATATATATATATATATATATATATATATATATATATATATATATATATATATATATATATATATATATATATATATATATATATATATATATATATATTCATCAAGTCAACACATTGTGACCAGATGCAGGCATGAATAGGCATTATTCAAGCTGGCATGAGGCTTTTAAAACTACACACTTTGCATCACATAATGAGCTCTAGGGAGGCAAAAAAAAAGCCTCTTCCATCTGAAGCTTTTTTTCACTTGTGTCATTGTTGGATAGTGTTACTTTAGGAAAAAAGGTTAGTATTTTATCTCATATTTTTCTATATTAATTTTCCTATTTTCATTTTTTAAGGAGGCACCGGCTCCCCTGCCTCCCTGGAGAAAGATACCTCAAATGCTAATGGATAAAGGGAATTCAAGGTCAGGAAAAACAAGCCTTTTCCATGGAGCAAAGCTCTCTTTTTTTCTCTCTCTTGGTTCTTCTGTGAGACCCAGGGGTGCCTTGAGGTGAGGGCTAGTATTTTTTCCTCACTGCCAACCACTCATTACAGTCCTGATGTCCCCCTCTGCCTCTCCATCACTCGAGATTATAGGAAAGAATTCGTCTCGATGAAAAACGACAGCGTTCTCACTTTGCTGTTGTCCAGTACATTGAGCCAAGAGCAACAGTGTGGACGACAGTGTCCTCAGAGTTCACAGACTGAAACAATTTGAAGATCAGCGTTTCCAGTCTTGATAAAAGACCCTCTAACTTTTCAAATAGATGCTAAACAATATTAAAATATTCATAAATTGGCCATTTACCATAAGAAAAAAAAACCTTTGTCAGCAGGAAGCATACTAACAGAGCATATGATAGACACTACCAAGCAATTACTTGGTGGCTACACAGAGAAGTTGTGTGAACAAACACATCTGATTGGCTGGACAGGTGTCTCTGGCTAGGGCCCCTTACTGTGGGCACAAAGCCATCCTTGTGGGCATTGTTTCAGTAAGTCTGGGATCCTCTGGAGCTCAGAAGCCCCATTAAAAACGCTGAGTCCAGTGTTAAAAAGCTGCAAAAGATGGTGGGAAAGCAATGCTGTTGACAATGTGAAGAGCTTAACAAGGACCAAATGCTAAACAATGCAACGTCTGGACACTGCATAAGTGTTTCTTGGAGACTCTTGAAAGAACTTCCAAGAAAGAGAAGGGGGAAAGAGGAATCAAGCTATTAAAATTGAAGAGTGAAGTTTATGCTCCACTAGTGGTAGAAAATGAAATTGCAGTCTGTCTGTGTGAGAAAAGAACAACACTGGATGTGTACTTTTCTGAAGGGCTCATCCCTATACACACTTTGAAGGGTTTACCACCAGAATGAACACGTTGAATTAATGAAGAGTGTAGTAGGCAGTGGTGGAAAGTAAATATGTTTGCTTCACTAATGTGTTTAAGTAGATTTGTAATTTAGAATACTTTTATTTTAGGAAACATTTAGGCCTCTATTTTAACGATCTAGGCGCAAAAGCATTAAGGGCGCATCCGAATACACTTTTGCTTATTTAAGGACAGAAAAATATGCTCTGCACTTCGTCGCATGGTCTAACAGGGTTGTGCTTATTCTCTTAATGAGTTATGGGTGTGTTTTAAGAATAAACCAAACAGAGTCTCATCTCTCATTCCCCTAAGGAGTCAGTTGTGTCGCACATTTGCTATTTACATGGCAGACTCTGTAAGTGGAAAAACTGAACACTTCACTAGCGAGAAACATTTAAATAAACCATCTACAGCATGAGGACAAAGAACGAGTCTCCTCCATTTGATTTTTACTTTCACTTTCTCCTCTCTTTCGTGGATGAGGAAACAATGTCGTACACACTCCACTGAAGACGTTCAATAGCTTACATCATTTTGTTTGTTAAGTGCAAAAATTTGTTTCAAAACTATTTCTAAATTCTAGGGGTGTCAAAATTAATTGTTTCTTCGGTGCACAGCGATGCAGACGCGGACAATTCGGTATCGATTCAATAATAACCATAACCGGTTATTATGTAGTGACGACATTTATCTCCTATGCGCTCTGTCGTGAGGGAGGTGAGCGCCAGTATTTACAACACTCAGCCAACTCAGGGCCGGCCCGTGGCATAGGCACCATAGGCAAATGCTTAGGGCACTGTATATCCAGTGGGGCGCCAGAAATGAGCGCGCTTCAGTTGGTTTTGTTTTCGATTTTCCTGACACACTTTCAGTTTGAGACGGCAATAACTCAAAAAACGCTTACCCTAAAAAGATTTAAAGTGTGTTTCCTACAGAAAGACAAAGCTGGTTATGTTTCACAGCTGTCTTTCTTTTTTTCACTCGACATTACGAGCACTGCTCCGTTTAAGCCCTCGCAGTCTGCGTTTACTTTAGCCGGCAGAGCTCACGCTGAGAGGAGTTCTCTGTAAGGGACCGTCGGAAAAGTGCTAATTTTTTCCGTTTTTTTTCGTTTTTCTGCTCCGCTCAGCGCGAGCTCTCCCTGTTGCAAGGGCTTAAGTGTGTTTGTTTGTGCGTGTGTTTGTTTGTTTGATGCTGTTTATGTTTGTGAATGTGTTTGAATGAGAGACAGTGTGTTGCTGTGTGTCTGTGTGTTTATACAGACAGCATGTTATAGCCTCCCCCCTAAAATATAACACTATATATGGAAATCATTGTCAATGCACCGTGATGCACCGAGATATCGAATTGAACCGAATCGATGGCATGATAATCGTAACCGAACCGAACCGTGAGACCAGTATAGGTTCACACCTCTACTAAATTCAGCTCTAATTTCCAGCAAACAAATAAATGACAATAATAGTGAAGTGTGGTCAAAAAACTGAGTTATATCCAAACACAGGTCCTATGCCCCATATGGTTCAAAACCCGACAGGTGGATAAATCTAAGATTGTTTTTAATAAAACAAATATAAATATGCATATAATAAATAATACTGCTTATAGTACTAACATTATAAAAAAAGCAAGTTGTTGTGAATAAACTTTAAAAAGTCCCCAAAGAGGAAGAAGGCATGGAGGCAGTGGTTTTATATTTATGTAGAAAATAATAATTTTTGTAATATTGTACTTCTTTGATTTTTTTTTTTCATTTGTAAAGATATTTGTGTATTGCTGCAAGTCCTGCATGTTTTAAACAATGAGTAAGCGTTTAAGGCACACAACTAATGCACTCGGCGCTGGACTTTATGCACATTGCTTGATTGTCTGCAGATTTAAAATGTATGAGTTTGACAAATTTTGTAAAGCAAATCAACTATAAAAGATTGCCCATTTTACTGTAGTGATATTTAATAAAAATAACTGTACCTTTCTTTTCCTTAATTGTACTTCATCCACCACTGAGTTTAGGGGACCTTAACAACTGCTCACTGGAACGCACTTCTGTGTCATCTTGCATCATCTGCAATACAAATGAAACATGTCAATGCATCTTGGGAGGGAAAAGTGTCAATTATTTGTACAATGTAATATTCTTTTTAATAAAATATATATTTTTTTATTACATTAGAATTAGCAAGTCTGCTAAAACACTTTTAAAAAATGCATTCGATTGTCCAGTGTGATTGTGATGTCAATGACAAACAAATAAATAAATAAATAAATAAGAATATTCCACAGGCCCTAAGAAGTGGCCATTTGAGGGTATTTTCAGATCTGAGCAATCAGTGAGATGTAGCAGGAGTGGCTTGGGCAAACCCACCTTCTACAAAACATGATTTGTACTGATATGAACAAACCACACACCAACATTTTTAGTAAAGGGGGACACATAATGTACAACTTATTGAGAATGTTTGCTATCTAAAACTGTTCTAGCGATCTTTCAATACGTCGGCCATGATTATTCTCACTCCAAAAAATCCTTTGGATATGTTTTTCTTTTCTACTTCAAAACACACAGGCTTAGCCAATGTAATTGTAAAACTCCCTGTTATTTTCTGAATAAGTATGACAGGCACAGTTACTGCACCCCTTTTTATATATTATATTATTCTATATTCTTTGTTGTGCTGATGTCAAAGAGCCACCTAACAAATTTTGTTGTACAGTATGAAGATTACAATGACAATAAAGTTCTAATGTTTAATGTCAGGTTGGAGGAGTTTTTAAAATAAACATAAACACAAGTGCAATCAGTGCTGCTAGTGAATAAACAGCTCATGTTGCAGCAATTACAAGAGCTGTCAAAGGAACATCTTCGCTCAGACAGATAGAAACTCTCAGCATTAAAAAAAAAACATTCCTGTCAGTTCATAGCAAACATGTTAAAATATGGCACATCCAGGCACATGTCAATGTCTCCATAGAAATGCCCCATCATTCTTCAAAAACGGCCCTGCGGGTGCTCACATTTGAGGTTGAACTGCTTTGAAATGACCTGTCGGCAAGCGGCAGGTCTGATGATTAAGACGTAGGTGCGTTAATGAAACTTATTAACGACTCTTCTCATCCAAAATGGGATTTATTAAAATGAACGCATAATTAAATTTAGCGATGAGCCACACCGAACAATGCCAGATAGTGGCTACTTTGATTTTGTTTAAAAGTAATTATGCAGAATTGACATGAGTGAGAGTGGTGCTGTGGCCCCTCTAATGAGTTAAATAAGAAAAATCGCTCAAGTTTCAGACTCTGGCAGAAGCTAATTGTGTTAATATGATGGTTTCCACAATGCTGTCATTTCACTTTTGGTCTCGTTTTCTTCTTTTTTCAAAGTCTTTCTTTTTTGTCTTTCTCTTTTTCTCTGAAATCCATAGGTAAACAAAAGATGACTTTTATAAGTCTCTGCTTATCATGAATTTCCACAATAACATTATTACATAACAGGACACATTAAAGTCTTACGAGTAGAAACTTAGTAGACAAGCAGACAAGCAGAGAAATGGATTTGTCTGTTAATTTATTACATGTTTAGTATATTTGTGGATGGAATTGTTTATCTGTTATGTTTCTATAAAAGCATCAAAAATAGCATACACAAACAGAAAAGCTGCTCTTTTTACACAAGACTCGCAGTTTCCAAAATGAAATAAAAATCACAATAAAAAAAAATACCGCTCAAAAGGTTTTGATCAGACTGGTTTCTTTATTTGTTTGTCTATTTTTTTTTTAAATTAAGGATTAAAAAATTTATAGGGAATAAAATTGTTTATATTTTAAATGAATCATGTTCATATTTATATAAAACTTCAAATTAGAAATAAAATTGGAAAATTAAAAAAAAAAAGTAGTGATTTCCATATTCAAGTTTTGTCTGGTCAAATTAATTTCATTTGTAAATATACATTATTTCCTGTCATTCATACCTGCAACACATTAAAAAAAAAGTTGGGACAATTTTAGGGCTTATAATCAGGTAAACTGGTTAAATAATCAAGTGATTTGAAACAGGTGATGTCAACAGGTGATTGTTATTATAATTTGGTACAAAAGTAACATCCAAGAAAGGTCTAGTCAGTTAGGAGCAAAGATGGGCATTGGATCGCCAGTTTACCAACAAATACTGATAATTGAAAGAAGAAAGATAGTAAGACATCTGGATATCTTCAACTGTGCATACCATAATTAAACAAATCATGGAATCTGAAGGAATTTCAGTGCATTAAGGACAAGCCTAAACTAAACAACTGTGATCTCAGATCCCTCAGATGGCACAGCCTTAAGAATCATCATTCATCTAAAATCAAAATAGTTACATTCACAAATGTCAGTTAAAACTGTACTGTGCCAAAAGGAAGCCCTACTGTATATCAACAGTGTCCAGAGGACCATTGACTTCTCTGGGCTCTGAGGCATCAAGGATGGACCATCACACAGTGGAAACGTGTACTGTGGTCAGATAAATCAGTATTTCGGATATTTTTTATGTGTCTATTAAAGATGCTTGAACTATACCCCAGATGTTTAAGCTGTAGAGTGCATGCAAGCAAACAAACAAACAATCAAACAAACAAACATGCATTTGCAAACATGTTTTAAATTAAATTAAATAAAATTTAAAATCAGTCCTTCTGAAACTCCTTTTTAGAAATAAGAAAAAAAGTAGTTTGCATATCAAAACTGCTACCCAAGCTGCTTCGAAATGGCCACACATACATCTTCTTTCTCATCAAGTGTTTATTGCCAGAACAACAGTAGTCACTTTGTGGCCACTCCGGTCGATTTAACCCCCCCATACCCCCCCCCCTTAAACAACAAGCCACGAAGCAATACCAAGAAAAATGAACCCAGTCCAGACAAGCTCAAGTGCTCTTCTTCAACAAACGCAGCCTCCGCACTCATAGACCCCAAGTTTACCAAAACACATGGCCATGGAGACGGATCACACAATAGCCTTAATTTGGCCCCTTGGCCGCAACAACAAGCAGGAAGAAACAAACCGCTGCGACACACTCACTTGAATATAATAAACGGCCCAAACAACACAAGCAGGGAAAATAATCACACTCTGCGCCTTTGCGCTGAGCCGTAAACACTGCTGCTGTGTTGTGGCGCTACAAACAGTACTTTTCATATGAGGTGACGAGAGGTTATCAGCATCACAACCCTCCCCGCATCTGGGCACATATTAATTATCACGCTCTGCATTCACGCCTGTTTCTCCGAGCACAGGCGATATTTGGCTGGGGACGTGAGGTCTCATTATTACAGGGACTGCTCGCGATGTCCTCTGCTTTTCCCATCCATGAGGAAGACAAAAAAAAAAAAAAAAAAAAAAACCTTCTCACTGTCCTCTGGGTCCCTGTGGAAATCGGCAAGCCCATCTCACTGCTTAGCAACCAGCCCTGGGGCCTGTTTTACACAGCTTAATTCAGATGTGAGTTTGTTGCAGTTGATTGGCTGTGTGTCCACTCTTCTGTATTGAGGTGAGAGAGAGAGATGTACAATGTACTGTGTGTGACAGTAATGAAGGATGGCTGGGACGTGAGGAGGGCAGTACTGGGACCTGCAAGCTCAGAGGCGATAATGGTCAGTAGCCTCCATAAGAGTTGGAAGCAACGTTCAAAAGTTTTGGTGTTCGATATAAAATAACTGATATTTTGACTTTGGTTAGACTGTTTAGTATTGATGGTGTATGCATTATCAGCATTAGTGAAAATGCATTGTTTGCAATACAGAGTTGTAGATTCTATCTGCTTGTTAAGTGTGACGCTGTGATGAGCTTCAGGATCCAAGTGGATGTCAGACTATATGGTGAGACTCGGCAAATGGTAATAATAAAGATTTACAAATTGATTTATTACTTTTGAAAATCATCATTATATATATATATATATATATATATATATATATATATATATATATATATATATATATATATATATATATATATATAATTAGTTTTTTTACATACATAATGGTGGCCCATTATCAGCGTTAACGTGCTGCATTAATGAGAGACTCTTATCGGTCGTTAAAAATATAGCCGTTAATCTATTCCCAAAGTTGGGTTGGGAGCTGGGTCTGTTCTACGCAAGCTGTGATGACTTTCAACTTGATAGTTTAGCGCGGATGTATACTTGGTCAAATTGCACTGTAGGTGGCGAGAACGAGTCTTCGAACTTGTGTGTATTCTAACTGTGAAATCAAAAATCGTTGTTTTAAGCTTATGTAGACCTACAGCTCAAAATTCATGTTTAACTGAATAAACAGTTAGTAAACACAAGTACATTTTATTGAACATCATTTATTTTCATCATAGTAAAACAGTTTTTCAAGCAGTTTGTGATGCATTTTGGAAACAGGAGATGAGCCGCTGGTCTGATGCACCACCTAGCTTGAGAAACGCGTTCTCAAAGAATTACTTTTAGTCATTATTTGGGTAGCAAACACATTTTTTAATCTTGATCTGTAAACTGTAATCTTGGAATTAATCTATGCCAAACTATGATATATATATATATATATATATATATATATATATATATATATATATATATATATATATATATATATATATATATATATAAAATTTTTTTTTTTTTTTTTTCCTCTGGGGGGCTAATAATTCTGACTTCAACTGTATATATCTATGTATATTCAGTCCATCCATCCATCCATCCATACATACATGCATCTTTATTTCTTTATTTTGTGTGTGAGTGTCTCTTGTTTGTTTTAGGTTGTATCAAAATTTTGAAACATTAAGTTAAAATAAGTTAAATTAATTGCAAAATAAAATAAATAAAATAAATACATATTTATATATTTTTTATTTTGTAAAGTCAAATATGCTTTATTACTAGAGACAAAATATAGTTTATTCCATTCTGAATGGAATGGAATTTTGCACAATTTTATTTTTGTCTTTAAAGTTTATTGACAGACCAACAACCGTTTGTTTTTTGCGATTGCTGTTCTGTTAAAAAAAAAAAAAAAAAAAAGGTTTTTAAAAATCAA